ATCGGACAGATTTTGGAAAAACATCAGAATCAAGGTAAATATCTGGAAAACCATCAGATAAGTTCTGGAAAAACATCAGAACAAAGACTCAATCTGTTAAAACATCAGAGAGAGAAATATATCCGGAAAAACATCGGATAGATTCTGGAAAGACATCAGAATCAAGGTAAAAATCTGGAAAACCATCAGATAAGTTCTGGAAAAACATCAGAACAAAGACTCAATCTGGAAAAACATCAGAGAGAGAGACAAACAAAGGTGACATTCAAGAATAGTGTTGGATAAAAGGAAACCAGATACCCAATAATGGCTTTGAATGAAAGATATAAACATAGTATCTGAGAATAGTATTGAATGTATACAGGAACAAACATATCCAGAAGAACAATCGGATAAGAAATGTCATATCTGGAAGAACATCAGATAGACACGACACAAAAATATGTTTGGTAGGTGTCAAGTGAGTTGAACTTTGACCACAAGGTAAGACGTGGATAAAACACGACATCGGGAAAAATGCAAATGAGGATGAAACACCCATGTTATGCATATGAATATGAATTACGCAGATGGTATATGATCAAAATGCAAATGCAAACACCGACGACAAGGCTCGACTCTTTTGGTGAGAAGACAAGACTGGAAGATTGATTCCTCAACACGGAGATCACTGCCATTCTTCTTGGGGACTAAAGATGCTACCGCTGAACATATCTCTGCCACACTGGTAAACTGTGTCAAATTGATGATCCTTGCAGGAAGGATGAATAATTGATTGGGGATTCTTCAAGTAAACTGCCCCAGTTTAGCTGTTTGTTGTAGGTAAACTGATAATCGCTTCAGCTTGTTGAAGATGACTGATCCACTGCGTGCTTGAAAAGCTTGCCCCGGTCTAAGTCTTGAAATATCTTCTGGATAAATCACATTTGAGAAGACCTTGCCTTGAACAAATATTGAACTGATTCTTCGACCGGATGTGAAAAGAACTTGCCCCTGATAGGATCACCGACCAAGTTTCTCAATGTTTGAAAATTCCTTGAGAGGAAAGCCAGTTTGCAAACAAAAGTATTCATACAAACATGATAATGCAAAGTTCATGCAACTTTTGAAATCAAAATCATTCTTGAAAGATACAAAATAAATGAGTCATTGGTCAGAACACAGTGGTTCGAGACACTCAAAAGTGAAGGTAAAGCAAAAGGTATGATGCCAAAACAAATGATCTGCAAAGATCTTTTGGAGTCAGTTTACGCAACCTTGCTGTAGTATGCTTTCGAAATAACCTTGCTTCAGTTAGGTCTTTTGAGGGTTGTAGCGTGGTCTGGTTCACGGTTTAAAAAACAAAGGATAAAAGCTCAAAGTTTATTTGTGCCCACCCAATCTACGTGATGATCTTCAGTCCTATGCTCAGCTAACTCAGAATATACACTCAGGTTCCTATAGGAATTGCACTGATTATAGCCATGATGATGGTTCAACAGTCCAAGGACTCTTGAGACGGCAGTCACTGCTTCTTTACAACATTTGGTTGTTCTGACATTGAGGATTTTCAGGGTAAAGGATTTAAAGATCTCCTCTTTTATTGTCCCTAACTTTTGCCTGAACTGTTTCTTTTAAAGCTTACAGTCAGCGGAATGCCCCAGTTTTGCCTAAATCTCCTTCATAGGTTTTGACTTAGCGTGTTTTTTTTTTAATTTCTTTTGGAAAGAAAATGACTGTCTGGCTTAATGATTACGGTGAACCATCATCGACTTTTGGCTTGAAAAACATCTTCGACACTTGCTTGCTATTATGAGAGAGAGAGAGAGGAAGAAGAAATTTGAGGGAGGAAAAGTATTCAAATTAAACTCCTATATCATACATTAGAACTCTAAAAGGCAATACAAGTGCTATTCTTCTTAGCCCTACCTTATACAAAATCCCTTTAACAGCTACTTCAAACAAAACAACAAAGAAATTAGAAAAGAAATATACTAAAAGCATCCGTCTAACCGACTTCCATGAAAGCATGACCAACAAGTAGATATAGGAGTGATGATTGTGGCAACAAAAAACACCTAACCATGCCAAAACCCATACTTGCTTTCTTCTTGCTGTGGAATGTATAATTGCTATGGATACATTCCACAATGATTTCAGCAACTGTTTCTACAACAAACTTGAAGTACCTTTGATCAATTGTCCAGTGGAGGGCCTGTAAAGTCCCAAAGCATCTGCCAACCGTTGGGATTCTAACATGCTCCATGTCGGTGGCTGCATAATCCATAGGAGATGTTGATTTTAAGCAATTATACAGAATATATTATTTCTGGTTGACTTTAATGAAAATGAATCTATTTGCCTTACTCTACAAGAAATATTGATGTGTATATATCTGAATACTTGAATTTTATTAAAAACATTATGCTGAGAAACAAAGTAAGGTCACTTTCTTACCGTAGTCTTACAATTTTGAGAGAAAAGTAGAATAATGTCATCATTCTTTTAGAATTAGACAGTAATAACAGGCGATGAAAATTATGAGAGCATTGTTTTGAAGCATAAGTAATTATTAGTGTCATTGAGAACTAAAAAGTATGCAACTAAGACAACAAAATAATTGGAGTTCTTAATTCACAAGACAGTTTAATAAACTTCATTATAACAAATCCCATAATAAATATTTCCCTCATTACAAGTTTTCAACATTTTGACATATTGTGATTTTACTAACAAAATCATAAAACATGGAGGCCTACAAGGCTACAATAACACAGGAATGTTAATAATATGTCTTTGTAATTATACCAAAAAATCTGTTGAGTTTTATTCTGTAATTTAATAACCTTCTAAGTGCTTTTTTTTTGGTCTCTAAGTGCTTATTAATCATTTAGTTTAATAACAGTGGGCAGTAGCACACTGTATGGTGGTCAAAGTATTGGAAACCTTTGAAATACCATGCATAAATATGAATCATCCAAACACATATTTCAATACCTTAAAACATATGTTTAAATTACTGGTTGGAAATATGTGAAATTTCTTGAAATTACATTGAACCATCACCTAATTTGAAGTTACTGGTTGGAAATGGTCGGGACATGTCTGCAAATGGCATGGTCTAAAATCTGGTGGTAAAATTAATGGACATGACATCTCTGTCCCTGCTTTCTTATTTTAGGATCACCCTGTCTTGATTCTTTGGAACCTCACGTGGCTGACTATGCAGCTTCTAGACTGATATTTTACTTGGATGAAAAGAAACAGAAACTGGAGATGTCGCATTTCTAAGGTTTCAGCAAACTGACTCTATTGCTGAGTTATATGCACTCCAAAAGATGAAACCCCAAGTTGCACAGATTATAGAGCCCTCAATGCTCTCCTAATTGGATGAACTATATGGAGTTTAAAGCATACTTTGAAAATAAAAGTTTTTTTTCCCTAGTAACTCATAGCAAAACACACAGCAACTTAGTTTTTCCTTGTCTAGTAAGCATACAGCTGTTTCAGAGGGAAAATAAATACTCCCCACAAAATTACTTTAACAGTTAGTTTAACATAAGCATCTTATGTTTCAGCACCAGATATCCTTATTCTTACAAGATGAGAAACTGTAAGAGAATGCAAATTGTTTTTGTCTACATTCAAGTTAATGGAATTACACGAATAAATTACTTAAAATTAATGTCGAAGGGGAATACCTTTGTGAAATACTTAGCAGGATTCTCGGCATATTGGACTATTGTCAAACATGCATGAGCAAATTTCCCTGATGTTTCCTTTATTGCCTGGTATGAATTCAGCTTGGATAAGTGCCGGAAAAATACCTAGATAAGGACAAAGAGTAAAGACTATGCTTAACGTTATAAAAAAGGGTTTAGAATACCTTTTTCAATGGATGTCCATACTTGCTATGGTAAAACTGATTTATGGCAGCCAACTGTACCGCACTGTTTCCACTCAATATTTGCACAAAAGTTTTTCCATCAGTTCCAGTTTCTTCTCACCTGCTTTATACAGACCCACCGCATCGTTCTCAGCCATTTCTTTATTAGTCTCAGGGCCTTCGTGGTGTGGTGTGTTTAGATATACAAGTAAAATCTGGATAAAGTTTTTAAATAAATGTATTAGTAACAACAGCTTTATTGTTTGAATATTTGAAAGTAATTCATAGATGTGGTTATCACCGACATCAAATGGTGAAATTGGGAAGGAGTTTTACAAACAATGGAAGTCTGGACAAGGTTTCCCTCAAAAGACTTACTTATGTAGCAATCCATGACAAACAACTTACACATTGGAATAAAACAGATAGACCCTAACTAATGGCATGCTCTATCATTAGTAGGAATACTAGGATACAAAAATAGTATAAGACATTTAATTATGAGATAGAAACCTTAGGAGGCATATTTACTTTGTAAAAACATAATGAATTATCATCAATTGGTGGGTAGGGTAGAAAGAAGATTGACCTTTTTATGATCCCCAGAGGTATTTCTTTCAATATCATGATCAAGATAAGTGCCAAATTTATTATGGTATATCTGCCTTAAATATTGGAGCTGGGCTGGAGTTCTCGAACATATAACTTCAGTGGTAGCTTCAAGAATTTTATTGACGGTTAGAGATTGCCTAAGAATTACTGCATCACGTCCTGCAGGGCCATGCATCCAAAGTAGAACTGCATTTTCTAATACTTGTGAAACCTGAGGATAGGCATAAGGCTTCATTTATGATTCCCGAGGTTGGTTATGCCCTTTAGACTCACCAGTGCACCAGCAACCTTTCAAAGTTTGATGAATCAAAACTTTCAGCTCATGTTGAGAAGCTGGTGTGGTTATGAGCAACGGCAAGTTCAGACTGTTTTGGACAAGAAATATATGGTCATATACATGAAATAGAGCAACATACAATTATTGAAAAATTCAAAATTTTCTTTGCCAGCAACTAACTGGCAGGGACATATAAGAACAACATACCTGAAATGGGATTGCAATTCTTCTTTCTCTTCCCATGGCTCATATTGTCAATTCATCATTTATTTTTATGTTAGGGATGTGAGCAATGTTGGACCAGTGCTCCCCTTTCTGATTCTCATATTTTGCTGTTAATAGACGGCACTGGCTAATCCGCAGTTGCTTAAGATAAGTAGGGAGTTCTTTTGGCAATGACTCAATTCTTTGACATACATCAAGCTCCAGTGTTTCCAGAGAGGAAGGCAGCCGGTCAGGCAAGGACTTGAGTTTTGGGCAAAATACAAATACAAGTGATTTCAGAGAGGAAGGAAACATGTCTTCTGGCAATGATTCAAGCCTCAAACAACTATGAAATGTAAGATTTGTCAAAGAGGAGAGGTGTTGAAGTCCATTTTCTGGCAAGGATTTCCTTTTAAGGATATTTATTGTCAGAGACAGGAGAGAAATGGGCAGCAACTGCTCCTTCAGCAAGGTGTTAACAATACCATCACTTCCAATATACAAATCAGACACAGCATTAAGGTTTTGGAGACCCCATCCGGTCGCAAATGTTTTTGTTCTTAAGGAATCAATGGAAACTAATCGTAAGTTGGGAGGGAGGCAAGCTCCTTCATAGCATGGCAATAATCGTAAGTTAAGCCTCAAGCTTTCAAGAGCAGTGAAGGTTTCCATCTGTTGAGGAAGTGATCTAAGTGCGTCACAGTTACAAACCTCAAATGATTGGAGGGTTGATGGATAACAGGTATACATTTCTGAAATAAAAAAGCATTGCAGATTCCGACAGCCTCGAATCGAAAGCCTTTGAAGAACTGGGAAACCATTCAATGGGAAAGAGGTCAGTGCATTACAGGAACCCTCTAACTTCAAAGTCACAAGTGATGTGTATTTGCTCCAAGTTTCAAGAGGCAGGAATGCCAAATTCTCACAGTTAGTAATACTTAGTGACTGCAAAGAAGTGGGTAGACCATCATCCGGAAATGAAGAGAGAGATGGAATGAAATCAAGTTCCAAGTGTTGAAGCCAAGTGGTGCTCGTAAACATTTTAGGCAGAGACAACATCATCTTAAATTGTTCTATTACTACACGCTGCAGAAGACATGCACAGTCACTTTCAAACAACGAACAATCAGTGGGCTCTCGAGAATGCACATATAAAGACTTTACCGAGGAGAGCCAATGCAGAGTAGGTGGTGTTGCCAGCAGATGGTCACAGCAAATTATTGTAATCTCTTCAATGGAAGAAAGATGGCAAGGCAAATGTCCCATTAGTTTAGGACAATTATCTAACTTCAGAGTTTTAAGCCGAGGAAAAGGAAAGTTGCTGCCTCCAAAGGGAAGCCATTCCTTCCAATTAGACATAGAGGATAATTTTAGATGCTCAAGGGATGGAAATGGTTGAAATGGAGAATTAGAATCTCCTCCTGACATGCCATAAAACTCTGGGCCAATTGTCTCCAATATTGACATACCTTCTATAATTAAATCTTTGAGAGAAGGTAGTTGCCCTAGTGGTGGAAGTGTCACACAGTACTTACAGTTACTTATGCACAAATACACCATGTTAGAAAACAAAGAATCTCCCAACCAACTTGGAAATCTTGTCCCGCCATAAGAACTAATGCTCAATTTCTTCAAACTTATTGATGGTAGCAACACATCAAGAACGACATTCTCTCTTGGTGAATCATTTGTATGTTCTCCCCAATATAACTCTAACTCTTCAATGAGTTCTTTCCTCCTCAAGTTGGCATCACACGCCTCCTTGACATCCATGACATTATGCAGATTATGGATAGAAAGTTTTCCCCGTAGGTTAGGAAACTTCCCAAGCTCTCTCACACTTAACCCATCTCCTTGCTGACCCACGACAAAAGCAACAGTTAATGTTTGAAGGTTTCCCAGTTCAACAATTTCCATTGGCATCTTCGTAATGTTTGTCTCACTTATATTAAGGTGGCGCAAATTAATTAACTTTCCAATGTCTTCCGGCAATTCAGTGAGCCTTGGGCACGATGCTAAGTTTAAAGTTTGCAAATAGTAAAGTTTACATGTTGAATTAGGCAATCTTTCTATTTTAGTGTTGGAGAGATCGAGAAATCGCAAACGTGACAAGAAAGAAATTGAATCCGGCAACATTGTGAAGTTATCATAATGTGATAAAGATAGCACACGCAAACTTCTGAATGTCGGTAGCAACTCATCAACCACCTTTCTAGCTAAGTAACTCCATCCCCGCTGAACTTGAAGAGGAAAGAAGCTTCGCAGGCATTCAAATTTGTAACAAATTTCTAACTTCTTGTAAGTGTCATACCTTTCTTGAATATATGAAAAATGGTGAACATTTTTAGAGATGCTAGCACCATATTCAAGCCTACAACAAATTTTCCCACCAATAACTACAGCTAAATCATAGACAAGGTCGTGCATGACAAACTTTTTTCTCTTATCGTCACCGTTCAATTGTTGAATAAAAGATCTCGATAACAATTCATCAAAGTAGTCATCACCTACTTCTTCAAGCACTTTTTCACACGGGGAATGTTCAAGAAAACCTTCAGCCATCCACAACAAAATCAATTGTTTTCTGTCAAAGGGATAACCCTTTGGAAAAATTGAACAGTATACAAAACATCTTTTCAAATGAGAAGGAAGATATTGATAGCTCATAAGCAAAGATGGCAGAATATTTTGATTTGGAATGTTCCATATGTTGTTGGTCATAACAGCAGCCCACTCCTTTGCATCTACCTTTGAAGACAAAAGTCCTCCGAGTGTTTTGGCAGCTAGTGGCAATCCTTGACACTTTGTCGCAATCTTCCTGCCAATTGCTTCTAGATCTGGGCATTCATTGCAGCCATAACTTTCACTTCCAAATGCATGTTTAGAGATTAAGGACCAGCATTCTTCGTGTGATAGAGGTTCTAGGCTATGAATAGGAAATGTATGAACGACCTCCGCAACTCTTTCTTGGCGTGTTGTGATGATCACCCTGCTACCAGATTTTCCATTAAATAAAACTGTTGCTAACTCATGCCACTCATCATAACCGATGTTCCACAAGTCATCCAACACAAACAAAAATCTTCTACGCACCAGCTTTTCTTTTAACCTAAGCCGAAGAGAATCAAGATCATCCTGACCTTGGAAAGTTAATGGCTCTACCGATGCAAGGAGAGCCTTGATTACTCTCCCAATATCAAAATCCTCCGACACACGAACCCAGGTTTTCAAATCAAAATGCTCGTTAACTTGTTTATCATCGTAAAGAAGTTGAGCAAGTGTGGATTTACCCACACCTCCAACTCCTAAAACAGCAACCACACCTATGTTGTTATTAACAGTATAGCCCATGCCATTGTGTAACATCAACATATTCATCAGTTTCTCCTTATCATGCTTCCTACCAACTATAACAGTTGCGTTTACTACTGAATTTGAATTTGAATGCATTGTACGAGAAACACAAGTAGTACTTACAGATTGCAGACCAAAGATATCAATTTGTTGAACAAAATGTTGCAGTCTTGGACAGATCAAATTCAATTTATAATTGAACTCAAAATCACATTCAGGTTGAGTAATCTCCACCTTGCATTTGAGGGAATAGTAGCCGATTTCATCAATCAAATCCTCTGCAAGTGAGATAGCGTCGGATAATTCATCCATCCATAGCTTGAGTTTGGGGTTGAAGAAGTATTTGTGCTCTGCATCTTGAAGAACTGAGTGAATGGTGAGAAGCGAAGTTTGGAAGAGTGTAAGTTTAAGGAGATTCAACTTGCTGCATTTGATGTAATCGATCATGTCTGGAGATGCAAGTTTCTGAAGTAAGTCTTGAACAGTTGCAGAGAGAAAAGCCATTTTTTCCGTTATGTTGTTAACGCAATGCAGCAATGGTATTGGATTTCTATGTCTACAAGAGTTAAAATAAAAATCTTGTCAAAAAAATAAGTTAAAATGAAAACACCTCTCAACCATTGGATCTTCACCATCTGAAGTCCCATCATCATCACCCGTCAACACGTGGCCTCGAATATAGTAATAATAATTGCACGCGCCTCTTGGTTTTCTTGATGATAATAACACTGTACTACCGTTTTGAATCAACGGCTACATAGCATGTGTCCGGTACTACTATTTTCATAGTTTTAGTTAGGACTACCAAAAATCTGTTTATAAAAACAGTTCTATATTTAAAAAGGAAAAACGCCTGGCTCCTATATGCTATTTAATGTACAATTGAGCTTGTTTTAAACTATAAATGGTTTCGGCAAAGAAATGATTCCCCGGTTGCGTCAGGAACATATAATATCAGTGGTACAACGAAAATTGGGGGAGGTCTTTTTAATGAAGATTTTTCATCATTAATACAAGAATCAAACGGCTTTTTCAATAAACGGTTTGACATTTTGAAAGAATGAGAACTTAGAGATGTTGTTGGAGCAATATACATATGGTGTCACATCTATAATATTCATGTTCATGCGTGGAAAAAGCGAGTATTGCAATCTTGACAACATCATTCGGAAGATACATAAAAATGGATGTTGTAATCGAAAATATGCTGAGATTATACACGGCACGAGTACTCGTCTGAACAGTGTTAATGAAGTTTATCAACAAGTCAAAAAAATTCTAATAAACAAAGAATGCTTCAATATCAAAATTATAGAAAAATGTGTAACTCTGAAATAGAAAATGGAGATTAGAAACTCAAAAGCAGAAGAAGGTTACGACTCATCTAATTCAGAGGATTCGTTTATTCCACTTTTAGTGACATCAATAGAAGATGAAGTGGCAAGGAAGAGGATAGAAAAAAATTATTGAAAATTAATTAAAGAAGGGAAAAGTCACCTATAGAACAATATTAGACACATGTGATAGAGTTGATGAAAAAGAAGTTTCCCAGTGTGAGGCTCGAGGGAAATGTGTCAAAAAAGTTACATATAAAAACGACACTAACTTGAAAAAGGTGACTGAATCAATTGCCAAGGATGGGAGCGGCAGAAAAAAGAAACGGTCAAAAGATAGATAAAGTCAAAGCTTTATATTAAGTAAGAAATTTCGCAATTGAAAAGCATGTCATTTAAAAAAAATAAAATTTTGGGTTCTTCCCTCCAAAAGAAGGCCAAATGAGATAACCAAAGATATCCACAGTGATCCCAATTTTAAAACTCATAACAACAAAAAGGTTTCAGATGAAGAAAAAAATCAGGCGTGAGAATGTAGGAGAAGCTTGCTATGTCGGTATCATCGCTATGAAATATTAATTAAGAAAACGAATTTCAAAAAAACAAAGAAGGATGAAAATAAAATTCAATCAAAAATGGAGGAAAGAGGCATCAAGGCAAATAATGAAAAAGAAAGGGTGGATAAGTGTTGTTGGGAAACAAGGAATTGTTTGAGGAATTATGTGATCAAGATGGTGGATCAATGCTACCGGGAAAAAAATAAAGCTTGCAAGATTGCAGGAATTGAATTTGTCTGAATCATGCTCCACGATGAGTCAATAAGGTTATTGACTGATGTCAAATATGTATCTGATCTTAAGAGGAATTTGATTTCTCTTGGTGAATTCGACAAAAAGTATATGTTTTTAAAGGAGAGCAGAGTATCTTAAGGGTAATAAAGGGGTCAAGGAAGTCTTGAGAGACGTGAATAAACAAGACTTGTATACCCTTGAGGAAGAGGTTGTAAGTGTTTTAATAGATGTGGCGTCCATAAAACCTGTGTCAAAGACTGAGTTATGACACAAGAGACTTGACCATCTTAGTGAAAGAGGCTTGTTCGAATTGTAGAAACAAAATCTATTGTGCGGTGACAAGGTTAAAAAGTTGGAGTTTTGTGAACCTTGTGTATTTGGTAAATCCTGTAGGGTGAAGTTTAACAAAGTAAAACAAAAAACATATGGATCCTTTGATTATATTCAAGCTGGTCTTTCGAGGCCTGCAAGAAATCCCTCACAGTCAGGTGCAAAGTATTTCATATTCATAGTTGATGATTATTCCATAAATTTATGGGTATTCATCCAAAAAACTAAGGACGAAACTTTTGAAAATTTCAAAAGTTGGAAGACTCTGGTCAAAAACCAAATTGTCAGGAAGGTTAAGAGGTAAAGGACCGAATGGTCTTGAAGTTTGTAATGAGGCAAGGTTGAACCTAGAGCTATGATATGTATATTCCTTATATAACCTGAAGGAGTCAAAACTTTAGGCTGTGGTGCCTATAGCCAGGTCACATGAGGTGTATCACAAGTCAAGATGTAGTTTTCAATGAAGCTGAGATGACTTCAAGAAAAGTGATGACATTAGTCAAAGTTCGAAGATCTCTGAAGAAGAGTTGAAGAAAGAAGAGATTCTTGTTGAGGTGGAGCATAATGGTACTGAATTGCATAACCCATATGATGTCAAAGATTAAGCATAATTTGTTGATGAAGATGAGGAGACTGATAATGACTACCTGCTAGCAAGATACAGGTCGAGAAGAGTTATCAAGCCACCTCAGAGACTTGGTTATGCAAATCTCATAACTTATGCCTTAATCTCTGCAAGTGAGATTCTGGATGAAGAACCTAGAGATTATAAAGAAGTTATGATGAGTCGAGATAAGATGAAATCTCATAACTTAAAGTCATGGATGATGAGATGAAATCTCTTCATGATAATAACACTTGAGAGCTGATCAAAAAACTTGTGGGGGTCAGGTTAGTCAGATATAAGTGGATTTTTAAGGTTAAAGAATGAATCAAATGAGTGATTTCGAAGAGACCTAAGGCAAGGTTGGTTGCTAGGGGGTTCACTTAAAAAAAGGTGTCGACTTTAATGATGTGTTCTCATCTGTTTTAAAGCATATATCCATTCGAATGTTACTTGCTGTGGTGGCGAAGTTCGACCTAAAACTGGAACAGATGAATGTGAAGACAGTTTTCCTATATGGTGATCTAGGTGAAATAATCCTGATGAGGCAACTTTAAGGGTATGTAAAAAAGGGAAAGGAAGATTATGTATGCAAGCTGAATAAGTCTTTGTATGGCCTGAAATAATCTCCTCGATAATGGAATAGGAGATTCAACAAGTTCTTGGAACACATAGGTTTCACTAGGAGTCAGTTTGACCACTGTGTTTACTTTAGATTTTGACCTGTAAATTCACTTGTTATTTTGTTGCTTTATGTGGATGACATCCTCATAGCAAGCAACAGTGTCAAGGATGTTATGAAGGTGAAAGCTGAACTCGATAAGGAGTTCGACATGAAGGATTTGGGAGCTACCTCCAAAACTCTTGGGATTGACATCCATAGAGATAGAAAGGAGTTGATATTATGCTTATCTCAAGAGACATACCTAAAGAAGATTCTCGACAAGTTTGATATGTCAAATTCAAAGTCTGTTCTAACACTGACTTATCCTCAATACAAGCTGAGTACGACTCAAAGTCCTAGTACTGAAGTTGAAAGAGCCTATATGAACAACATTTCATATGATAGTATAGTAGGTTCTTTGATGTATTCCATGCTTTGTATGAGGCCATACATTGCCTACAGAGTGAGCCTTTTAAGCAGGTATATGGTTAATCTTGAGAATGTGTACTGGCACGCATTAAAATAGATTCTGAGGTACATAAATGAGTCTTTAAGAAGAGTTATAATTTATGGCGGAGCCTGTGATGATGATAGCAAAGTCAAAATTAAGGATTTGTCGACTCTGATTATGCAAGTGGTATGGATTCTAGAAAATCTATTTCTGAATATGTGTTAACTATGATTTGCATGAGAATTAGTTGGAAAGCAACACTTCAGAAGGTTGTTGCCTTATCAACCACTGAAGCGAGGTATATTGCTCTCACTGAAGTTGTGAAAGAATCATTGTGACTTGAAGATTTTGCTAATGAGCTGAAACTTCAATATCGAGCTATCACTTTTTAATGTGACAGTCAAAGTGAAATACACCTGTCGAAGAATTCTGGCTATCATAAGCAAACCAAGCATATCGATGTGAGAATGCACTTTGTCAAAAAGATAATAAAGAGTGGGAAGTCCAAGTGATGAAGGTTTCGATTGATAACAACGTTGCTGATATGATCACCGAGACATTGCTGAGTAGCAATTTTTTTCACTGTATGTAGTTGATAAAACTGCATGATAAAAGCTAGTTTTTCCCTTATTAGTGTAGAGTTTGTTCCAAGATGGAAATTTGTGGTATTTGGATTGAACTCTGGTGTCGACAAGGGTAGCTTCATGATTCGACAGGAGTTAGGCGTGTTGTAGTCGAAGTATGTTCAAGCTTGCTATCGAAATATGTTTTGTTTTAAAGCATGATGAATTTGATCTTACTTGTAAGCTCAATTGTCAAGTTAATTTGTAGGGTAAATTAACTTAGTAATCTATAAATAGACTAGTTCTTCAGGTTGTTGAGAGAAATTATCAAAATGGAAGTACTGTTGTTGGCTTCGCTTGCATGTGGAATATTTGGAAAACCATAAATAAAAGGATCTTTGGCAATAAGGAAATTAAAGTGGAAATGTTGGCAGAAGGTGGAAAGCTTATTCTTGGAGGTGGATTTATTTTAAATCGGAGAGTTTCATATACAATATATTTATGATTATTGAATCCTAAAGCCTGTGTAGAAATTTTAGAACCATGAATTCAACGATTTAAAGTTTTCTTGCATTAGGGAGCTTTTTTTTTTGGTTTTCTCTATTTGGGCTAAATATAGTTTAAAGTTTTTGAAAGGTTTAACTCCATGGAGTCTGTTCGAAATGGTTTAATCGTTCAATGATTTATATTTCTGGTTTCTTCTAGTGCGGGTTTGTTCTATGCGAGTTTTAGGAAATTGGTTCTTCTAGCTGCCGGTCGATCACCAA